GTTGTAAACAAAAAACTGACAAGGACACCCCTACCCACCCCCCCCCCAAACAACTTTAGCATCTGCAGAAGGCAGCCTGTCATGTTTTCTAACAAACAGTTTTGGGCTTTTTGCTAAATTTATGATAGCCAGAAAAGCAGATTGTTCAGTTCCCATTTTTCTCCCAAGTCACTCTTCTTTCCTTGCATGAATTCAACGAATGGGAAAAACTGCCCATCTCATACTGATGGCCAGGATTAGTATTTATAGAGATTTGAAATTATCTAAACAACAGTGATGAGGATCTGATTGAAGAGTAAAAAAAGAAAGACACCAACTAATCATCTCAGCAGTCCAGTAGTCCGCATTCAGTTTACACTGTGAAATCCTTTACGAGAGGGAGAAAGAATAGGTGGTGTGCAGATGGATCAGAGTTGGACTGTTCAGAGCGCTAATGAAGAAATAAAGATGCAATGTCACTACCTACAGCTTCCCATCTCCATGCTATTAGTGCTACCGAATAGACCAGGATGCTACATAAGAGCAATGAGAGAAAAAGGTGTAGAGAGATGTTTCCTTTCTGACACCGACTGTGGATTAGGGGAAGGATGCAGGGTGTCCAGATCTATGTGGGCTTTACCCAGTCAATAACGCCTGGTATCCAAAGCACCTGGCAGGTTTTGAAGACTCACTGTGGACATGTGATCATTAAAAGAAGTTATGTCATTACAAAGTAATATAATTAATAAGGTTCTTATGCTGTGCAGACTCGGAATGGGCGGGGTGAAGAAGTGGAAAGAATAAATTAGTCAGGTGTGCTACAAAAGTGTCCCAGCAGCAACAGGACAAGGTCTCATGATGCTATGAATGACATGATTTAATAGATTAAGTGGAAGAAACAGAGACAGAAGGCAAGACTTGTCAGGGTCATAGCTAACTCTAGAATCGGAAGCAAAACTGAGTCTATTACTAGCTCACTTCCCTGAAAGAGGCTTGTATAACCACACCAAAGTTTCAAAGCTCATGGGTAGGCTGTTCCTCTACGCCTCGCCTGAGGCTTGCAATGATGCTAGGGGATTACTACTTTGCAGCTTTACTGACACATAGTTTTACGCTGAAGTAAGGGCAAGTTTTTTGTTCTGCAAGATCTCCGTTCTGAGAATGAAGGTAAAAGACCTCCTTTTCCTGTCTAATATTTTTAATCAAGGTAATGAGATGGCAACATAACTTACACTTGCAGGATATACTAAGTAAAGTGACTACCTAGTCACCTACCTACCTAAAAGCTCAGTTTTAAACTGAGCTTCCTAAAAGTTAAGAAACGCTTGATTCGGGTCACATAAAATTTTGCTTTAAAAGCTTATGTGAGGAATCACATTACGGCTAAACATGTTTCAAGCTAAAATATTTATCAAAGAAGATTAAAATGCTTTTCTAATGTGTACATTACATGCATTAATGTCAGACAAAGTAATCAGCTAACATTTACAATGAGTTTAAGTACGAATGTCTTACAGACACATGCCCTTACTTAAGTGATGAGTGTATTTTTTGTATACATGTATTAAGTCCTATTTTTTTCTGCAGACCATCTGCTATAAATACAGAAATGGCTGCCAAGAAAAAATGCTAATAAATTAATAAACAAGTTTTGGTTCTAGTGGCGGGGGGGGAAGACAGGACCCCTTATAAGCTGAATAAGGGGGGCAGTAAAACACAGCTGAATTTATAGTGCAATGTGCTGAGAGGAACGCTCACTATCAGGCCATGGTTCAATGACCACTCTCATTCAACATGGTGCCACCACGCTTCCACCAAAACAGGGGGACTTGCTCTCCTCTCTTTTCCCTTAGCCGCTCATTCCTAATACCTCAGCTGTGGTAGCACAAGCAATTTTGCAGCTTTGATTTTGCAAAAAATTGGCCAGATTTGTGTATCTGATCAGCTTATTCTATGGTGGCTACACAGGGTTACCGTGTGTAACTGTGGCATTGATTACAAGTGCTAAATCATTTATGAAACCCACTTAAAGTCCTATCCACATATATATTTACATTACTCTCTATTCAGATGAGGAGAGCCTTTGTGACTGGACCCTTCAGCTTTGCAGGTGGGGACTAAATGGTTCACTTCTTGGTAAGTCTTCGCACTCACTTCACAAAACTGTGAGTTACGGAGCCTGAAACGTCCTCTCTGTCCCGGGCTGCCTGAAAAACGCCACAAATCCCACTAGTGCTACAGCAACCAGAGAGCGAGTACCATGAAGCAAGCACAGGTATTGCTTAGCCTAGCGGTGCTAAATGCCACAGCAGTAAAAATGCCAGCTGTCACATGAGGAAAGGGATCCATCTCTCCTGCCGCTGCAGCACAACAGCGAGGAAAAATCAGCAACGGAGATGCAGCGGTAAAGGTAGGGCTGGCTGATCATATGCAGCCTCAGTTTTACCAACTGAGAGAAAAAGCAATGAAAGCAATGTGTATGGTACTCAGTGGACTTCAACAATCTTTTTTTTTTTCTGTTTGAATCTGACCAACAATCATGTTGGTCATGACAGCAGCAGAGTTACTGTTCAGTCCTTGCATGTAAATTGGATGTATGAATCTGTTCAACCAGAGAATTAATGAGTGTAACAGAAGGTCTTCTCTTTCCCCATCGCTTACTGTTCGTTGCTCCTTTAGTATGTGTTGCCCAAAGAAGACTACGAGTAATATAAATGTGTAAACCTGTAAAGAATAAGAAATCCAGCTGCTATAGAAAACCATAATTAAAAGAAAAGCTAACCAAGAGCAATAAAATAAAAATATCACAGGCAGGAAGTAGTGAAAAGCCCGAGAGTCTCAGTGGAAACCTTTACAGAGATAAGTAATGTAAATAATCTTGATCTGAGGAAATCAGACGTAAGCATTTTGTAAGTAAGAGTAATATGAAGTCTCACGAATATGTTGGAAGAAGCAAGAAAAATGCAGTAATTATATTCTAATATATGACCAAATTGTTTCTGTATTCCACCAAGGCCTGTCAAATGCATAAGCTCTTTGTTTTTTGGGTTTTTTTTAGGGAGAGGTGTCATCCAACTGATACGCACAGTAATGTTGAACGCATTTGCTGTTTTTGCAATGAAGGCAAAATGGACGTCAGTGATTCACATTCTTAGCATTTTACTAGGCCACCCTTATAAATCTGAATACAACGCTCTACGGCTCTGGCATCTTGAGGTTGGCTTCGTCGCAATACATCCGTATTAGAGCTACGAGGGAAATCCAGCAGCTGAAAACGCAGCAGCGTATATACATTGGGCTGTTTCTGGAGGTAGCCATGCCTGTGACCCCATCTTCTGTACTTTGATCTCCTCAGAAGCTCAGCTGAGGCACTGAGTTCAGCACATTCCCAGACGTCCCAGCTCTGGTCTCCAAGTACATGACAGTCCCGATATGAGGGTACGTGACAGCAGATTCCAGCAGGCAACAGTTCGAACTTTAACCTGCTTGGACAAGGTGGTTCTCGTTACTCCAGAGGCCACCACGGTACGGGGCTCAGCTGGAACACGCTTACCAGGAGCCCTTGATTTAAATAGCGGGATGAGAACCCGTTCAATGACCTTCTTCAGCTCTAGACTTTTGGATGTGCTAAATACGTTGATGCTTGTGCATCTTTCAGTGACAATCCTTTCTCAGGTTCTCGTCAAGCCGAGAAGGGCGAGTGGGGACTGTGCAGCAGGTTGTAGGGTACGTTCGCTCCCGGCTGGTGCACCAGTCGTTTTAATGACTTGTTAGGGAGCAAGAAGCCGCCGGAGCTGATCGCAGGACCGGGACCGTTATTTGGGCTGGCGGGGGACAACTTCAGCTGAGGGCACCTGTGAGATTTCATTTGTCTTTTAGTAACTGGGGCTTTCGGAATGAGTTTATGTAAACTCTGTGATGTCATACATCTCGTACAACAAACGCTGATTTAGGTGGCTTTTAAAATACCGTTGTTACGGGAGGGGAAACAAAAACAACCCCCCGAAACCTCAAACGCTGCTCTTTTCCAGTAACTTTGGCCTCTCTCGCGGCTCGTAGGGAAGCCCTCGGGGCGCCCCCCCTGCC